ATACAAAGAAAAACAGCTTATGTGAGATGGGATAGTTTATCGCTGGTGCGGATAGCGACGGCGACATCGCCGAGATTCACGAAGTCGCAACGAAATCCCTGCTGAAAACATGCCCGTCCAAAAATGGCCCGCGATTCGTAGCAGGGTCCATCTAACACAAACCCAGCACAACCATACAGTTTGGGCGCGCGTGCGCTTGAACTCGTAACAAATGTTGTCCAATGAAAGCGAACCGCAACTGGAATCGTGGGAGGTATGCCTTGGGCCTTAGATTTGACGGGGACGCAAAGGCTTCTAATGTGCAAAACTGAGAATCAAATTTTGGTGAGGCACTACCTTCGAGACTGCGCCAGCTACATGGGAAGCATGAGTCTGCGTGCGTCATAAATAGATTTAGTCGCCGTTCGAAGTTGACTTATTGCTTCTGTGTTTCTACAGGGACTGCACACCTTTTCAATGCACAAAATTTCAAAACTTGAATTTGACTGAAACTTTGTATGGGAATTTAACTTAAAATTCCGACCACGGATATTGTACTTTTTGAAAATCTTTCTTTAGGGGTGAAGTTGAACAAACCATGCTGCTTTTCCGCAAACGATGTTGCCCGAAAAGTTTCAAAAGCTTTGCACTTTTAGCAAGATAGTAATGTGGTATCTTGTTTAGGCACGCTACTGAAAGATTTGGAGGACCGCAAAATGCTTGAAAACGATTAGGGTACTGTATGGTCCTTTGCGACTTGTTTGCGCAAATTGAATGATTGGAAATCCAAGAAAAGATATGGTTTGCTTTCAAAAGCTCTTTTGGGTATATCGTAAGCAAAAGGCAGCATCAATTTAGATCATGCTCATGAGATTTGAATCAATAGAGGACAGTCTCGCGTCTTCAACAAGGTTTCCTTCACAAAGTGAAAGGCACACCAATAAAACAGCAAAATTGTCTTTCCTTCTCTCTATACTTTTTGTTGTCGCCCTCTCTTCCTGCATTTTTAAAGCAATCTGCTCACAAAGTTCTTCAGTAGTTGCATGCGCAAGCGCATGTCTTGATCAGACAGAGATATTCCGTCATTTGATAAGAGGTAGTTACAATTCATATTTGTTGTATGAATGGTCACTCACTGAATTCTGACAGCGTTATACGTGGAGTTTACCATATTGATAAATTCTTGGATATCTTGCAGTGAATCGAAGTTGCCGAGATTTTCGAAATCCTTCATGTCATGTTGAATAAATATTGTAAGGGAGAAAAACACGACCACGGAGAGCTAAATATGGCAATGTGTAAAAAAATATGTACATGTTTCGAAACGTATGCACGAGTTTTTTTCGCTTCAGGCTTTATCAGCTTTATACTTACGATTAGAAGTACCGAGCAGTAAAATCGCCATCGTCTTCTCGTGTGATACCACCCAAAGGCCATGACATATAGTCCTGAATTATATAAAGATAAAAGAGACAGACAGCCATACTTAACGATTATATCTTCACTGTCAGAGGGCAAAAGAGAAGTTTGACTAGGCCAAAAAAAAACCAAAAATTTTATAAGACCTTCAAATTTTTAAGAAGTAGTTAGCGTTAGTCAGATAGGTACGTCCCACTACTTTACTAAGCGTTATTTACTAAAGACTATCTCTGTACATATTTTGAATCATCTGTTAACTGCGACATTTTTAAGTCTTCCTTCATAAGTTCAGTATTGGAGATATGTGGTGATCAAGTATTGTCCCATATCAAAAAGGACCTCTGTCAAGACCGAATGTGCTAAAGTGAGGGAAAAGCGATAGTAAAAGTGAACATTCTAAGCAGTCCCTTTTTTGAGCCTATTGTGGTGCTGACAAGGGAATTCGCTTAGTCGAAGTGGTGATTTGAAAGGAGATCTATAGTGGATTGAACTTAAAACGCTGATCAGGATATACCTTCTACATCTGCCATGCATCGTTCTGAAAAGTGAAGCGAAAATCGTTCTTTTTAATGCCAAACTTTTGTGCATTTCGAGTCACAAAATCATAATAACTTCTAAATAGTGTGCGAGCTCAATCAAACTACCTGGAAAGCATTATAGGTCTAATTTGAGTTCATGCAGACGTTATCAAGTGTTTTCCAACTATGTTCTTTATCCACAGGTAGTAATTTCCTTTCTAGATCACACTCCCATTACATTAGGTCGTTCCGAAAGTAATGTCGCTTTTTTCGAATGAACGCCACATTTCATAGAATCAAGATAGAATGTCTAGCCGAAAAGAAGCTGCGATATTCCCATAAGCAAATCGAATCTTGTTTACCGACAAGGAACTTAATGCTTGTGTATTGACGCTTAGATGACGATACCAGTTAATCGATGAGTATGCAAGTTTTGCATGGAAGACAGTCAATAACTCAGTCCAGATTCCGCGCCGCAGGTAGGAGTGGCATGTTTGGGATCAGCGTTCAAAGCTTATTTTAAATATACATGTCCTTTTTCAAAATGTTGAGCAAGTTAGGTGCCTCCCCTTGTAAGAACCAAAAGCGTTTTTTTTTTGATTACATAAAACTCCATCGAGGAACTGAAACGAACCGGGTAGAAGAAAAAAAGATACGATTTGCGCAGCATCTACTTTTGAGTTTGGAAATGAAATACATGCGATCAATTATAATGGTCTATCGGCGTTTCAAAGTTCATACTGGAGACGTAAAAAAAATAGTTGTTCATAAAAGCAGCTGGCAAATTTGCAAGTTCGGTTTACACTTCTGTATTAAATCGCTGGCTTTTGCGAAATTTATTTTCTGGAAACAGGATTGTATGAATTGATGGTATCATGTTGCAAAATGGTTGTCAATACCGAAATTCTCTGACGTGTTCCATCTGTGCCGATTTTTTAACTTCGCTTTCAGAATGCAAAATCAAAAAAGGATACTGTTGGCGTAATGAGCAGGTATAGCTCCTACAGTTGGCCCGAAAATCTTGGAGAGCTCGAAAAGAACTTCTAAACTGGCTATAATAACAAAGATAGCCTACATATATGCTATTATGTTTCAAAGAGTTCGCGTAAATTACACTTTGGAAAGGTTTGGAATGAAAATGAAGTTTTCAACTCGGTTTTCTTTTACTTAGCCTTACTGAACTGAGAACTTTTTCTTTGTCTATATTCTAAATTTTTAACTATTAAGATTTCTCGCCCCTAGAACTCTGAAGCGCTCAAACAACCAACTTAATATCTGGCGACAATACTTTCTGGAGAACCATCGCTTACACCCACCGACTTAGAATGCATTCGAGCCTCGGTGGTACATCAAGTGATGGTACAGCAAAATCTTGGTAGACCAACAGTGGAAGCTACCACTAGTCGAACAAAGAAAATGACTAAGAAAACTTCTCAGACAACAAAGAAAAAATCTGCCTCGTTGACGAAGTCGTCACGGTCCACTAAAACCAAAAGCATATCACCAAAGAAAAAAAACCGTTTTATCGAAGAAGCCGTTGCAGTCTACCACTTTAACCAAAAAAGGATCACCACCAAGGCCTTCTACAACAAAGAAGAAAGTAGAGAAAACAACAATCTTGTCATCATCAACAACTGCAACCAAATCAGCACCGACATCTGCACCTCCGATGGTAGCAGGAATAAGTAGCTTGGTCATATCCTCGTCAGATGGACATGTGCTTATTACGGACACCCCTGAACATTCAACAACGATAGAAGAGGAGGGTAAGTACCTTTTGCTCTATATGAAAAAATGGGCTTTCTAAGTGCGCTTTCAGAATTGGTTAAAGAAGTTGAAACGAAGGTTAGACCATTCAAGTTGTGCGTATGCATAGTTTTTTTTCCCGAAGATTGCTTAGCTGTGACTTCATCTGCCAAGGTTTGCTTTACCTTCGCTTCACTCTTCCGAAAAATCTTTACTCGATTTAAGTATAGTTCAATCGTTGACCGCACGGACTGGACACCACTACGGAGCACGCGCCGCGAGGTAAAACTCTTGCCCCAGCACAAATCCGCCATTGCACAAATCCGCCATTGTACAAATCATGCTCTCGCAACATTTTAGGCGCTCCGCGCAGGTCCGCCGCGTTTGAGCAGTTCGTGTGCTCAACGAATCAACGATAAACTAGCACATTTTTAAAGCAAAAAATAGTGGTTAAAGAAGCCATCTTTACCGAGAGTAGTTCTTCTCCAAAGTCATGGGACATCTCATGTTTACTTTGATGTAGTTAAAAGTGTTCTGTATCGTACAACATAGATCTGCGGGCATATGTATGATTTGCCTCCTAGTTATGAGCTGCATCAGCTTGAATCTGTACACGAATTTATAGGCAACCGCATTGCTGCACTGCTGATGGACAAATAGTTTTGATTAGATCAAGTCTTTACAGTAGGTAAGATGACGTCGCCGGAGTCATGTTGAATGCTGGCCTCACAACTGACATTCTATCTGCACATTCTCTTTTCTCAAATTACCAGAGTAGTTTATAGCTGCATATTGCAAGAGATACTTCAGAGGTGAATTGTGAGCGCTTTATGCACATATAAAAATTGAGTTGAGAGCCTTCCATTGCTAAAAAAAAGTTTACGAGCTTTGTGTATGAATAGATGTGCTCCGAGGCTTTGCACAGAAAAATGTACGTAACATCATGTACTAAGCTTCCAAATATCATCACTACCACAATTAAAATTTTCGTCATCGGAAATGTTGAGGACATAGTTGAGTTACCCAAGCCCTCAGATGGGCGCCTTGATGTTGCGCACTGACTATATCAAAGTCTACATTCTTCTTCTTCGCTTTATCCACAATCCTTATGTCGATTGTAGCTTAGTCTCAAAAAGCAGGGGGATGCATTATTCAGCCGGTTTTTTTGGCTTGTCCATCAGACCCACGAATAAGTCTGCCCATTAGTATCCATTGTGGTGTGCCCGTGCGGCTAACTTTCGTACATTGATAAAATTGTACCTTTTGGCAAGTAGACCGAGGGGAGGCGCCGGAGGAAGGGCACCAAACAACTGAAATAATTTTCAAAGTTCAAGAAATTCAAAAAAAAATTTTCGGAGGCGTTTTATGGGTCTGCAACAATCTTGGAAAGTATTACTAAAGCATTTTCGGATGCATGGCAAACGCACCCCTCATTTAGAAAAATTCTTTTCCTCCTCCCCTTCCACGAAGGAAATTCTGGGACCGCCACTGCCCGCTAGGTAAATCGGAATGATGTTTTCCTTTGTACAGAAAACTAAGAGATGTGCGAGTGGCGAATTGATTCCAATAATTTGCTCATACTGACTTTGTAATGGTCCTTTTCAAATTCATATTCAACTCCCAGTAGAACGGTTATTTTTGAATAGGTGGGCAAAGCTCCGAATCCATAGAATAGTTTTCAACTTTTTTTTCGAACCGTAGCTTCTTCTACCGAAAGCAGTGGGCCCCCACTTTGTCCTTTCGCTTCAATAATGAATCTTCCTCGACTTACTATTCAAACGAAAGTGGGGGCCCACTGCTTTCGGTAGAAGAAGCTACGGTTCGAAAAAGAAGTTGAAAACTATTCTATGGATTCAGAGCTTTGCCCACCTATTCAAAAATTACCGTTCTACTGGGAGTTGAATATGAATTTGAAAAGGACCATTCACAAAGTCAGTATGAGCAAATTATTGGAATTAATTTGCCACGCGCACATCTCTTAGTTTTCTGTACAAAGGAAAACATCATTCCGATTTACCTAGCGGGCAGTGGCGGTCCCAGAATTTCCTTCGTGGAAGGGGAGGAGGAAAAGAATTTTTCTAAATGAGGGTTGCGTTTGCCATGCATCCAAAAATGCTCTAGTAATACCTTCCAAGATTGTTGCAGACCCATAAAACGCCAGAATTGTTTTTTTGAATTTCTTGAACTTTGAAAATTATTTCAGTTGTTTGGTGCCCTTCCTCCGGCGTCTCCCCTCGGTCTACTTGCCAAAAGGTACAATTTTATCAATGTACGAAAGTTAGCCGCACGGGCACACCACAATGGATACTAATGGGCAGACTTATTCGTGGGTCTGATGGACAAGCCAAAAAAAATCGGCTGAGTAATGCATCCCCCTGCTTTTTGAGACTAAGCTACATTTGACATAAGGATTGTGGATAAAGCGAAGAAGAAGAATGTAGACTTTGATATAGTCAGTGCGCAACGTCAAGGCGCCCATCTGAGGGCTTGGGTAACTCAACTATGTCCTCAACATTTTCGATGACGAAAATTTTAATTGTGGTAGTAATGATATTTGGAAGCTTAGTACATGATGTTACGTACATTTTTCTGTGCAAAGCCTCGGAGCACATCTATTCATACACAAAGCTCGTAAACTTTTTTTTAGCAATGGAAGGCTCTCAACTCAATTTGTGTATGTGCATAAAGCGCTCACAATTCACCTCTGAAGTATCTGTTGCAATATGCAGCTATAAACTACTCTGGTAATTTGAGAAAAGAGATTGTGCAGATAGAATGTCAGTTGTGAGGCCAGCATTCAACATGACTCCGGCGACGTCATCTTACCTACTGTAAAGACTTGATCTAATCAAAACTATTTGTCCATCAAGCAGTGCAGCAATGCGGTTGCCTATAAATTCGTGTACAGATTCAAGCTGATGCAGCTCATACCTAGGAGGCAAATTATACTTATGCCTGCAGATCTATGTTGTACGATACAGAACACTTCTAACTACATCAAAGTAAACTTGAGATGTCCCATGACTTTGGAGAAGAACTATTCTCGGTGAAGATGGCTTCTTTAACCACTATTTTTTGCTTCAAAAATGCGCTAGTTTATCATTGATTCGTTGAGCACACGAACTGCTCAAACGCGGCGTACCCGCGCGGCGCGGCTAAAAGGTTGCGAGAGCACGACTTGTACAGTGGCGGAATTGTACCGGGGCAAGCGTTTTACCTCGCGGCGCGTGCTTCGTAGTGGTGTCCAGTCCGTGCGGTCAACGATTGAACTATACTTAAATCGAGTAATGATTTTTCGGAAGAGTGAAGCGAAGGTGAAGCAAAAGTAATGGCAGATGCCTTTAGCTTATCCTGGTTTTGCTTTTGCAACGCGTTCAGATCAATCATTAGCCGTTTAGAAACAGTACGTAAAGGCTTTCACTTTACTTTTATCTTCCAAGAAATTACATATACATGAAACTGTGTCCTTTCGTAAAATTTAATAATGTTTTCAGCAAAAGGAAGAGGCGTCGAAAGAGAGAAGGTGGGCTAAACTTTTTGAAGTTTGATTTTGAATGTGCACTCATGTTTCTATTGACACACTAATAACCAGCTACAGTGGTTCAATAAGGAAATAACGACATTTTTATAAAAGTCAACCAATATACATATTACAGGAGGAAAATCTCACTTCACTTGTTGATGTTATCTCTATTCTTGGTCACGTTATCTGTTTCTCAGCTAATTTGCATGTCTCGTCTTCGAGAAAAGTATCTGCACTCGCCACCTGAAGGGAAAGGGAAAAGCCAAAGTATCATTGAAACTGCTAGCCCATCCCAATCACCTCTGCCAGGTCAAATAAGCAGACAAACGCCGGCATCGTCATTACGCTCCGGAAAAGGGTCACAAAAGTCAGGAAAGAAAACATTAGACTTCTTCAACGTCTAAAAACTTGTAATAGCTTGTAGCATCCTGATTACAATGTCCATAAAATTTTTTCCTCTCTAATAAATGTATGTTAGTCTTTATTATAAGAAGATTGGCATGACACTCAAAAACCATAGATTTTTCGCTGTGATCACTCCACAGTTTACCAAGCTGGAAAAAGACCATCAACAACCAAAAGATACCAAGTGGCATTGGGGTTTAGCAAGGAGATGTGCATCAAGGTCCCTATGGGACACTGGTAACTTGGCTGCTTTCCAAATCTGCGGGACGGTCTTGTGAAATATTAGGTTGAACCAAAAGTTCTGTCGCACCGTTTTCAAAAAAATCGTTACTTCTTCCCATCACATTTTTTGCATGAGTAGACTTTTCTTGAAAAGAGCAAATTTTACACTTTCTGGTCGCACCTTGCTTTCTCTCTCCCATGCCCTGAGTGCACAGATGAAATTGTGAAAAGGAAAGTAGTTTAAGATTGAGGCAAGCCCGTTAGAAATTCCAGAACTGTGCAGTAAAATCCAAAATAATCAGTAACCTAAGTTTCTTGATACCCTCTTTCCAGTTAAGCGAATATTGCGCTGATCGAGCTTTTCTTTAAAATGTCGATGATTGTGAAAAATGCCAAAAAATCGGTTCCTTAAGAAATCTGATTTGTTGCCATTTTTTCTCTAAAATTATAACTTTCCAAAGAACAGCTCGATCAGCGCGAATTTTGCTCAGCTGGAAAGAAGGAGTCAAAAAGTTTAACTGGCTGTTTTGGATTTTATGGCGCAGTTTTGGATTTTTTAACGGGCTTGCCTCAAATTCCGAACCTGAAGTAATTCCCTTTCTCCATTTTTATCTCTGCGATCGGAGCGTAGATGAGCGCAGGCAAGGTGCCATTAGAAAGTGCATGAGCTACTCTTTCCAGTGATATTTTTTCATACGAGATTACCATGATAGAAGGAAGCTACGATTTTTTGGAATTGGTGGGACAGAACTTTCGATTCAACCTAATAGTTACGAACCTCTGATCTATATCTTTTGCTCTGTCTACACTCTACTTGAATAATAGCAATAATGTAATAATTCAATAAATAAATAATAATAACAATAATCAATAAAAGCAATTAGTAATAATTCACATCATAGTCAGTTACGTTGATAGTAGACTTGGAAATCAGTTGGCTTTTAGCCATAGGGTACGGGTAAATCCCATACATACACTTTTTTGTTTTTGCAACTTTCTTAGTTTCTCTAAAAACTGTATTATTTCGTTATGATGTTCGGAACATACAGTGCTGGCCAAAACTATAGATCCACTATAAAAAACTGCCGTAGTTCATCTGCTTCTCAACGAATTGATCTGAGATTTGGTACAGTTGTGTGTTCAACAGGCATTCATCAGTGACCGGAGCGGATTCCGCTTTCGTTAGATTATTCAGGAAAAAAATTAAAAATTTCGAAAAAAGCAGGCTCGAAGGCTGGCCAAAACTATAGATCCACCTAAAATTTCTGTCTGCTAACGTGACTCTTAGCTTCCAAAATCTTTTGTGCATAAACCTAGTCGAAAGTCAAAGCAGTGGGTTTAGTTTAGCTGCGTCATACCTTTATAAGAAACGCTTATCTGCTTTTTTTCCACTCAAAAACTGCTCTCATGCGTATTTTGTTCCCGAGAATGTGTTTTTGTAGAGAATTCCGCACTTTTTTGACTGGTTTGAAAGTGATAGGACTCCATCTATCTTGTAGATGCTTAGTAGCGTGAGCAGCAGAAAAAAATTCGGGTTTTCGTATCCAAAGCGCACCTGACACAGACATAACCGTAGGCCTGCGCTCGAATTTTTGCCTTCAAAATTGGTATCCGCTATTTTTATAAGCTCAAAATAATGTAGAAGCATTATTTAGCATTATTCACCTAAAAAGAAGTTTGTAAACTATAGTTACGATTGCTTGCGAAGTCGCACTTTAATTCTTTTTCAAAGCATAAGTCTTGCGGTGTGTTCGGCAATCTCAAAGTACTTACCAACTGGTACCTTCTTTGAATTTTGCCACTTTTTAGCTGCTAACTATTGAATACACCCTGCAATATATGTTGCCTTGTGATTCACATGAGCATTATGGTCAGAAGCAGAAATAACTTCAAGGCTTGTTGCAAATCACTATTTGCAGGATGAAGTCCTCAATTAGCCTGCATACTAGGATCTGCAGAAACCTGCAACCACTGCACACGGACTCTCATACATACCAACAATGCAACTACTCCAGTTCACGCTCATGACAACGTTGCAGAAAGAGCTTGAAGGCATAAATTTGAACGCAGGTCTGCGGTTAGGTCTATGTCAGGTGCGCTTTAGATACAAAACCCGAATTTTTTTCTGCTGCTCACGCTACTAAGCATCTACAAGATAGATGGAGCCCTATCACTTTCAAACCAGTCAAAAAAGTGCGGAATCCTCTACAAAAACACATTCTCGGGAACAAAATACGCATGAGAGCAGTTTTTGAGTGGAAAAAAGCAGATAAGCGTTTCTTATAAAGGTATGACGCAGCTAAACTAAACCCACTGCTTTGACTTTCGACTAGGTTTATGCACAAAAGATTTTGGAAGCTAAGAGTCACGTTAGCAGACAGAAATTTTAGGTGGATCTATAGTTTTGGCCAGCCTTCGAGCCTGCTTTTTTCGAAATTTTTAATTTTTTTCCTGCATAATCTAACGAAAGCGGAATCCGCTCCGGTCACTGATGAATGCCTGTTGAACACACAACTGTACCAAATCTCAGATCAATTCGTTGAGAAGCAGATGAACTACGGCAGTTTTTTATAGTGGATCTATAGTTTTGGCCAGCACTGTATTTCTGCCCCGATGATGCATGATCACTCATATTGGTGTATGGACAGACCTGTAAAAAAAGGGGTCTTCTTTTGCATAAAACCGTTTCGCAAATTTGGGAAGTGGATACGTTCTTATTGTCACGAAGGTATTATAATGATGTAAATACATCTCTTTACTAAACGCCAGTGCGTAGGTTTCCATCACTCGTGCGACTAAACCGGTTCTATAAGGCGAACTGTACGAACAAATGTGGAAAGTTCATCATAGCTTTTACTGTTACAATTATTACCACGCTATAATGGATATGAGATTAAAAACGGTCTTTTAGGGAGTCTTAAGAGTTTGCGATTCTACTAATAATTCTATTGACTATAAATCCAAAAATAAAAGAGGTGATATCTTCCTTTTGACAGAATTATGCCCCAATTTTTCACTGCTATTTTGACACAGGTCGGTACAAAACAAAAGATGCAATGATTATTTCTTCAAGTCATCATTTTTGGAATCGGTCAAATTAGACATTATGCATACTGTTTGGTTTGCGATATTGTAAAAGTTGGTTCTTTTGAAAAGGACTCCTTTTTAAAAAGTTTTGAACAGGCAACTCTTTAAAAATTTAAGACTTTTCTAACAAGGGAGGTCGGATCAGTCAAAGTGGCCTTTCCAAATGGGTCATATACTGTTTTAAAGAGCGTTAAACGCTGATTCCGAATCTTTCTTCGTTATCTGCCGAGCGCCTCTGGACGCCGAGTTATAAATGTTTTTTGGAGCGAAAAATGAACGCAGAATTCAAGTAAAATTGACTATTACGGACTTTTCAGCGCCTAAATAGAGCAACATGTAGTATGAGTGTTTTAGGTAGAAGGTATCCTTTGAAATGGAGTGCTCTGATAACCAACATTGGACCATTTGAGCAATTCTGACGAATTTTGCTCTAATTACGCATTCAATTTTTCAACCCAAAGAACGCTCATAACTCGGCGTCCAGGGGCGCTCGGCAGATAATGAAGACAGATTCGAATCAGCGTCCTAAGCTCTATAAGACAGTATACATTTCAAGATGAAATGCCACTTCGACCATGTATCCTTCCCTTGTAAGATACAAGCGACTTAATCCTTACAATGTGATATGAGCTGGCATGGAAACAGATATTCAATAGTCAAATATTAAAAGTTCGTAAATATTGAAGATACGCTGAATTCGATACGGCGTAAATCTTCTAGAGCCATTTGTAGAAATTTGTATTGGATTCCGAGTCTTACAAGATGTTTGACAGTTAAGAACACATTGACTAAGCTACAAATCCAAAACGCTGGAGTAGATCTCTTTTCCAAAAATGTGAAGAAAACTAAAGCGCTTTGAGATTTTGACTGTCTTTCTGTCTCGACAATTAATTCTGTTTTGGTTCCACGCAGTGTAGAAAATGTGTTCATAAAAAGAAGCCGCGTAGTCGATCGTTGATGCGCGAAGCGCCTTTTCTCCTTTCCCCTCGCCTTTTCTATATTTTCTTATTGCTGCTTATCTATAAAATTTGAAGCATCTGCACAGCCTAATTTTACAGTCATTACGCACAGTATTCGATTTTTAGCAGTTTTATTCTGCTGCCTGCAAAACACATCGACCAGCCGTTCAACAGAATAGTTTTTGTTCTCGGGTAGATCATGGCAAATACAGTTTTGCCTTTTTTTGGAAAACTTATTTTTTTCAATTTGTAGCATCAAAAATTGGTGATGTGTTTTGATTCATAAGCCCATCGTCCGAGTGTGGACCAGACTTGACTATATAATTAGACACACTGTAGAGTTTTGTAATAGAATTCTAGATTAATGAGTTGCATCATGATAAGTTGATCATCTTTTCTTGTATATTGAATTGTGAAGAAAGTTCTGCCAAGTAGGTTGAGATGAATTTTTCTATTTATATCTCAAGAGTGGCTAATCTTATATATAAAGCTGAATGTCTGTTTGTCTGTCTGTCTGTATGTCTGTCTGTATGTCTGTCTGTCTGTATGTATGTACGTATGTTCCGAATACAAATTTTTATTTCTGAACCGATCGGGACCAAACTTGGCACACATATACTTCAGGGCAGGGAGCGTGTCATGGCTACTTTTCGTTATCGATCGATATCGATTTTATTGATTTTTTGCAAAATTCGAGCTAGAGGGCTGGGATTTGGCAGAGGGGGGTAATCGAGCATGCTGATCACCCCTTCGGGGTGATCAGCATGCTCGATTACCCCCCTCTGCCAAATCCCAGCCCTCTAGCTCGAATTTTGCAAAAAATCGGTAAAATCGACATCGATCGATAACGAAAAGTGGGCTGTGACACGCTCCCTGCCCCGAAGTGTATGTGTGCAAAGTTCGGTCCCAATCGGTTCAGAGATAAAAATTTCTATTCGGAACATACGTACACGGGTCTAGCTGGCAGGCCCGGCGGAGCCGGGCAAGCCAGCTAGTCAACAATATTTTGGTCGTTTGTACTAGTAACCTTGGACTACTGTTTATACTTATCATGGATGCTCTTTTCCAAGAGTGCTGGCTGCGTTTCGAAACGTGGAAAGTTCGATTTTTTTGAGCCGTGAAATCAATGAGCTACTTTTTGCTTGAAAAGAAGGCCCAGATACCGGAACAAGTTATAGTCGGATATTGCTTCATCTAGCCAATACAAAGTGTTTAAGACAAATTCTCAAATCGAGCTTCTGCAAGTTCTGCGCGTCTATAATCTAAAAAATGTGCCTTTTCGCAAACCCAAGCCCAACAAATTTTTTCCTTTTTTGGGCATTTCTTTCGATTTATCGTTACTTTTGAAGCTAAATAGCAGTAATAGTATCTGGTAGGTGAGCCCTTGCACACTAAGAAAACACGTTGCAAAGCAGCTCCTTGCATTCGCATTCATTTTTGGTAATTATAAGAGGAATCAGCAGAACTATCTTTAGAACCTAGTATGAAGCTGAATGTCTGTTTGTCTGTCTGTACGTTTCTCTGTCTCGTATGCGTATGGTTCGAACAGAAATTTTTTTCTGAACCGATTCGGTCCAAACTTTGCACACATACGCTTCGGGATGAGGCGGGTGTCGTAGGCTACTTTTCATTACCTATCGATATCGATTTTATCGAATTCATTGATTTTTGCAAACATTGGGCTATGGGGCTGGGAGTTGGCCCACGGTGTAAGTCATCATGCCATTATGAATATACCAGTGCGTTACCTCTGCTTCGCAGAGGCACGCACTGGCCGTTTTTGAAAGGTGAAAACTTACGTGGAGGTGCATCATTCCCAGTCCAGTAAGCAATCCCAGATGAAAATGAACCTCCCCTGTCGTGCTACTCTCACATACTTCAGAGCAATGTAAATCATTCCTTACTATATTTTCGTGAGGCAGGCGCTACACTCATCGAGGAGTATAGCATGGCGACTGGCGCTACGACTGTGTACTGGCGACTGTGTCTTCTATGCCTATCGATCGCTAACAAGTTACCACACGTCTAATCGATACAGATTTAATGTGTAGTCGCCAACACTGGCGACTGGCGGCGATCGCCAATATCGGCGACTACATGTTTGATACGTATCGATTTGACGTGTGGTAACTTCTTCGGCGACGGACGATCGCCAATCGCCAGACAAGTTACCACAGTCAAATCGATGCGTATCAAACGTGTAGTCGCCGATATTGGCGATCGCCAGTCGCTACGACGGGCGATCGCCAGTCGCTACGACTGGCCATCGCCAATATCGGCGACAAAAATCGCCGGTTTTACACGTATTTGATGCATATCGATCGTCGCCGTGCTATACTCCTCGAGGAGTATAGCGCCTGCCTAACGGACAAACTCCACACAGCCTCAGATTAAGCGGCTTATTATTATGAATATATTGGTGACAAGGCCGGGCGGAGACGGGTTTGCCACCTAGTTGATAATGAAATGGCAAGCTCTACGAAGTTTTTTAGCTTATTGTCGCCAGATATTAAGTTGGTTGTTTGAGCGCTTCAGAGTTCTAGGGGCGAGAAATCTTAATAGTTAAAAATTTAGAATATAGACAAAGAAAAAGTTCTCAGTTCAGTAAGGCTAAGTAAAAGAAAACCGAGTTGAAAACTTCATTTTCATTCCAAACCTTTCCAAAGTGTAATTTACGCGAACTCTTTGAAACATAATAGCATATATGTAGGCTATCTTTGTTATTATAGCCAGTTTAGAAGTTCTTTTCGAGCTCTCCAAGATTTTCGGGCCAACTGTAGGAGCTATACCTGCTCATTACGCCAACAGTATCCTTTTTTGATTTTGCATTCTGAAAGCGAAGTTAAAAAATCGGCACAGATGGAACACGTCAGAGAATTTCGGTATTGACAACCATTTTGCAACATGATACCATCAATTCATACAATCCTGTTTCCAGAAAATAAATTTCGCAAAAGCCAGCGATTTAATACAGAAGTGTAAACCGAACTTGCAAATTTGCCAGCTGCTTTTATGAACAACTATTTTTTTTACGTCTCCAGTATGAACTTTGAAACGCCGATAGACCATTATAATTGATCGCATGTATTTCATTTCCAAACTCAAAAGTAGATGCTGCGCAAATCGTATCTTTTTTTCTTCTACCCGGTTCGTTTCAGTTCCTCGATGGAGTTTTATGTAATCAAAAAAAAAACGCTTTTGGTTCTTACAAGGGGAGGCACCTAACTTGCTCAACATTTTGAAAAAGGACATGTATATTTAAAATAAGCTTTGAACGCTGATCCCAAACATGCCACTCCTACCTGCGGCGCGGAATCTGGACTGAGTTATTGACTGTCTTCCATGCAAAACTTGCATACTCATCGATTAACTGGTATCGTCATCTAAGCGTCAATACACAAGCATTAAGTTCCTTGTCGGTAAACAAGATTCGATTTGCTTATGGGAATATCGCAGCTTCTTTTCGGCTAGACATTCTATCTTGATTCTATGAAATGTGGCGTTCATTCGAAAAAAGCGACATTACTTTCGGAACGACCTAATGTAATGGGAGTGTGATCTAGAAAGGAAATTACTACCTGTGGATAAAGAACATAGTTGGAAAACACTTGATAACGTCTGCATGAACTCAAATTAGACCTATAATGCTTTCCAGGTAGTTTGATTGAGCTCGCACACTATTTAGAAGTTATTATGATTTTGTGACTCGAAATGCACAAAAGTTTGGCATTAAAAAGAACGATTTTCGCTTCACTTTTCAGAACGATGCATGGCAGATGTAGAAGGTATATCCTGATCAGCGTTTTAAGTTCAATCCACTATAGATCTCCTTTCAAATCACCACTTCGACTAAGCGAATTCCCTTGTCAGCACCACAATAGGCTCAAAAAAGGGACTGCTTAGAATGTTCACTTTTACTATCGCTTTTCCCTCACTTTAGCACATTCGGTCTTGACAGAGGTCCTTTTTGATATGGGACAATACTTGATCACCACATATCTCCAATACTGAACTTATGAAGGAAGACTTAAAAATGTCGCAGTTAACAGATGATTCAAAATATGTACAGAGATAGTCTTTAGTAAATAACGCTTAGTAAAGTAGTGGGACGTACCTATCTGACTAACGCTAACTACTTCTTAAAAATTTGAAGGTCTTATAAAATTTTTGGTTTTTTTTTGGCCTAGTCAAACTTCTCTTTTGCCCTCTGACAGTGAAGATATAATCGTTAAGTATGGCTGTCTGTCTCTTTTATCTTTATATAATTCAGGACTATATGTCATGGCCTTTGGGTGGTATCACACGAGAAGACGATGGCGATTTTACTGCTCGGTACTTCTAATCGTAAGTATAAAGCTGATAAAGCCTGAAGCGAAAAAAACTCGTGCATACGTTTCGAAACATGTACATATTTTTTTACACATTGCCATATTTAGCTCTCCGTGGTCGTGTTTTTCTCCCTTACAATATTTATTCAACATGACATGAAGGATTTCGAAAATCTCGGCAACTTCGATTCACTGCAAGATATCCAAGAATTTATCAATATGGTAAACTCCACGTATAACGCTGTCAGAATTCAGTGAGTGACCATTCATACAACAAATATGAATTGTAACTACCTCTTATCAAATGACGGAATATCTCTGTCTGATCAAGACATGCGCTTGCGCATGCAACTACTGAAGAACTTTGTGAGCAGATTGCTTTAAAAATGCAGGAAGAGAGGGCGACAACAAAAAGTATAGAGAGAAGGAAAGACAATTTTGCTGTTTTATTGGTGTGCCTTTCACTTTGTGAAGGAAACCTTGTTGAAGACGCGAGACTGTCCTCTATTGATTCAAATCTCATGAGCATGATCTAAATTGATGCTGCCTTTTGCTTACGATATACCCAAAAGAGCTTTTGAAAGCAAACCATATCTTTTCTTGGATTTCCAATCATTCAATTTGCGCAAACAAGTCGCAAAGGACCATACAGTACCCTAATCGTTTTCAAGCATTTTGCGGTCCTCCAAATCTTTCAGTAGCGTGCCTAAACAAGATACCACATTACTATCTTGCTAAAAGTGCAAAGCTTTTGAAACTTTTCGGGCAACATCGTTTGCGGAAAAGCAGCATGGTTTGTTCAACTTCACCCCTAAAGAAAGATTTTCAAAAAGTACAATATCCGTGGTCGGAATTTTAAGTTAAATTCCCATACAAAGTTTCAGTCAAATTCAAGTTTTGAAATTTTGTGCATTGAAAAGGTGTGCAGTCCCTGTAGAAACACAGAAGCAATAAGTCAACTTCGAACGGCGACTAAATCTATTTATGACGCACGCAGACTCATGCTTCCCATGTAGCTGGCGCAGTCTCGAAGGTAGTGCCTCACCAAAATTTGATTCTCAGTTTTGCACATTAGAAGCCTTTGCGTCCCCGTCAAATCTAAGGCCCAAGGCATACCTCCCACGATTCCAGTTGCGGTTCGCTTTCATTGGACAACATTTGTTACGAGTTCAAGCGCACGCGCGCCCAAACTGTATGGTTGTGCTGGGTTTGTGTTAGATGGACCCTGCTACGAATCGCGGGCCATTTTTGGACGGGCATGTTTTCAGCAGGGATTTCGTTGCGACTTCGTGAATCTCGGCGATGTCGCCGTCGCTATCCGCACCAGCGATAAACTATCCCATCTCACATAAGCTGTTTTTCTTTGTATGAAAGAGGGATTGTTATCAAACATTCCATACTATTATATTAACCCTTGACAACTTACGTAAGGCTTTGGCCATACTTTGCCCGTGTTGCCGATGTTACCAGTGTTACCGGTGTTGCCGATGTTTCCAGGGTTACTCGTGTTACTCGTGTTGCCGATGTTTCCAGTGTTACTCGTGTTACTACCTTTATTGGTGTTGAATTTGAAATAATCGCCAGTACAGTTTCATTCTTGAACGCAGTCTCACTGACTGGTGAGTATACAGGACCTGAGGCGATCATACCGCAATAATAATACCATGCTAGAAACCTGCTTCAAAAAAGTTCTTTTTCTTTTTTCTTTCAGTTTTTTTTAGTTTCAGTTTCAAGAGATTTTTCTTCAAAGAAGGGAATGTGCTCCCTTCTCACATACGGCCGCGAAAATGATGACACGTCCGAGGACAAGGTTTCCTGAAGTTTGATCAAGGCGTCTAAAACGTTAGCCAGTACGTTAGAGCTGTACTACAAATCAAACAATATGATTATATTTGTGTCATGAAAACTTTTTGAAGCAAGTTTCTAGCATGGTATTATTACTGCAGTATGATCGCCTCAGATCCTGTATACTCACCACTCAGTGAGACTGCGTTCAAGAATGAAACTTTACTGGCGATCATTTCGAGAATCAACAGCAATAAAGGTGGTAACACGAGTAACACTGGAAACATGGGCAACACGAGTAACACGAGTAACACTGGAAACATCGGCAACACCGGTAACACTGGTAACATCGGCAACACGGCAAAGTATGGCCAAAGCCTAACACATGGCTACGTATTCGGTCGCTCCATATTTGCAGTTTTATTTTTGTCGCCGTTCTCTGATGAAGCGGTTGGTTTACGGCAAAGCATCTGTACTTTCCGAGAAAGCCAACTCTGCTCTACAAGGCCTGTTTTTATTTTCGAAGTAAACCTGGTGACCTTCAATCTGTAAATGCTCAAGCAAGATTTTTTGTCTAACAAAGAATGGCTTTTCGACATCTGCATTTTCGGCCCCTTATAAGAAACCAGAGAGAATTTTCCATTTGAAATTATAATGAGTGATGAGCAACGACTGTTTACCAGGCTATGATGCACATAGAAGTAAACTTCTTGTCAAGGGAGACGATACAGAGAAGGAAAACGCACTTTTACTTTGAGTGTGGATATTTTGCGTTTGTTTGATTAGGTGCAGCGTAAACGTTGACTCAAATATGTCTTCCTTATCTGCAGAACGCTTTTGTGTATGAAGTTACAAGCCGTTAAAATTCGTTACTTTGTTGAGAAATTGTGCGTGTAAAGACTTGGCCGTACGTAGCCATTTTCGGCTCAGCGCTAGATCAAAACATGCAACTAGGTCACTTCATATGGCCCGTACCTAGAGGTGAGCAAGGGCAATAATTTGCCTAATTTCGCAGATTTTGTGTACGACTTTTGCAGTAAAGCTGCTCTAACTTCGCCTACAGAGGCGTTCTGCGAAGGAGAACAGATTTGAAATCGGCGTTCTATGCTCCATCTAAAGGTATGCAGTTTGTTTGTATTGACCATTTGTCTCACTACTCCCTTGTAAGCCGAAATTTTTTGGGAAAGCGTAAAATCGCTGGTCAGCTTTCAAACTTTTGCGCCACTTAGACGAAGATGTTCAGCAATCAAGGCCTGACAGCAGGTTGGAAACATTTATTGCTAAACAACAACGTCTTCGACTGCTGCAGCTTGAGTGAAACTCAAGCTGCAGCAGTCAAAGACGGCAACTATTCAGACCTCGTTCAAACAGTTCTTAGCATATTGATGGACACCATTGTCAGCATATCAGCCTTGCTTGTTGCTAGCTACTCCGACTATACAAGCAGAGAAATATCTGTGGAGCAGTGGCAGGATACCCAGGATTCCGGCTCGGGGGGGGGGCGGCAAAAACTTTTTTCAGATGAAGGTGCGTGGCTAACGCCACGCACTCCAAAATTTTTTTAGGGGGGCTTCTCAAAATTTTTGCGGGTCCCGAACCCCCTCACATAATCGCCGGGGGCAGGCGGCCATGCGATTTATGGGCGGGCGGGCACCGGAAAAATAGTTCGCTGATTTCTTGCGATCCGCTTGCAGATATTTGGAAGAATTTTAGCGAAATTTTAGACGAATGCTTGAAGAACAATCGCGGTTTTCTTATGGATAAGCTGCGGCGCAGTGGCCGCATTCTTGCGGACTTCCCGCAAGAATATGCAAAATTTTCGAGGACCGCACGGTCCTTTGTGGAGGACCGCGCAGCCCTCAGGTACTTTCCGCTGAGAGAAAGTACCTCAAACTTGAGTAATTAAACCAACGGTGACACCTCTGCCACATACTCAGATAATCGCGGGGGGCAGGCGGCCATGAGATCTATGGGCGGGCGGGCACCGGACAAATAGTTCGCGGATTTCTCGCGGTGCGCTTGCAGATATCTGGAAGAATTTTAGCGAAATTTTAGACGAATGCTTGAAGAACAATCGCGGTTTTCTTATGGATAAGCTGCGGCGCAGTGGCCGCATTATCGCGGACTTTCCGCGAGAATATGCAAAATTTTTGAGGGCCGCACGGTCCTTTATGGAGGACAGCGCAGCCCCCAGGTACTTTCCGCTGAGAGAAAGTACCTCAAACTTGAGTAATTAAACCATCGATGACACCTCTGCCATGTAGAGTCTCACCTTTGCTCGGCGTACGCCCGAAACTGCTTAAAAACCGTCCAAGCGCCAGCTGAAATTTTGACCAGCGCTCGCTGAAAGAGATTATTTGACGAGCGCCTGCAGAAAATTCTGTGTTGCTGCCCGCTGGCAGAAAATCAGACAGTAAAGGAAGTGCCGCCCGCTGAAGGTTTGGCCACGCCCCAAAATTCTGCTGACCGCTTGCAGAAAAGCGCGAGTTTGCGGACCGCCTGCCCCCGGCAATTATCTGAGTAGAGTCTCATCTTTACTCGGCGTATGCCCGAAACTGCGTTAAAACAGTCATAGCGCTTGCTGAAAGTTTAGCCAGCGTCGTTGAAAGAAAGTATTTGCCGAGCGCTTGCAGAAAATGCTGTATTGCTGCCCGCTGGCAGAATATGCGACAGCAAAGGAAGTGCCGCCCGCTGGAGGTTTGGCCACGTTTCAAATTTCTGCTGACCGCCTGCAGAAAAGCGCGTGTTTGCGGACCGCCTGCCCCCGGCGATTATCTGAGCCTAAAATCTGGAAAAAGGGGGCGTGGCTAACGCCACGCCCCCGAAAAAAATTATTTTATAAGGCTAATTTGAATTTTGAAAAATTTTAAAAATTATTTTAATTGCTTACAAAAATAAACAATCACTTGCACATTTTTATAACCCATGTGAGTAACTTCCAAAAATTTCGCGACCCGTTCTCGGGGTATCATCGACCGATCGATGGTTCCTGATACCCGTGCTATATGACGTCATTGCCGAGTGGGCGGGCCATGTCTGCCATGCGTCCACCTGGGAGGTCTCACCTCACTCTTGATCACACGTTGACCACCCTAGGTCACAGTCTCACGCTCTCGGTTACAGTAATCCTAATAAACCACTGAAACACCATTCTTGTTATCTATTTCACAGTATTACATTGCACACCGAGGCAAAACCCCTCGAAGAGTCTACACCCGCTAATAGCTTGGAGCGCTACAGTGCCTATCAGCCTTATGATTTCGGTCATAATCAGCTGATAGGTTCCTGTAGCACTTCTTCTCGCCTGGATCCTTTCAAAACGCCAAATCGTCAAACAATTCGTCTACAATCGCTGTCGTCTTCAACAAGCTGCACCTCAACAACTGCCACTACCGTCACCGTCTACTTCTATTACTACCAGCCTCTTTTCGTCATCAATCCAATGGTTCACCATCAACGACTACCGTAC